TGCAGACTCGGTTTGATTGAGTCTGTACATGAGGGATAATGAATACGTGCAACATCCCTCATGTCCCCTAGCACCGGCTTGAGCGGTACTCAATTCTCAACACTCAATAGTGCTGGTATCAATGAACATGAGGGTATATTTAAGCACGATCTTGTATGGCTAGGGCTTTAATAACTCCGAGAGCTTCTATAGATATAAATGCAAGTTAATAAAGTGTATTGGCGCTTTTCCTGTTTAACAATATTCGTCTGATTCTTGTGATTTCGCGTTTCATTATTTGTTATGTGTATCAAGAAACCGGTTCGGTTCGAAATGCTCTTCACGAACAAGTGGGATAGAATTTGACAGGTATTTTTTGATGATGAATTTGTCGTGGTCGTCATTAAGCTAAGACATTTTTTACATGACGCTCCGATTAACTATTATAAAACGTTCAACAGCGGCGCGTGCATGCTTTTTTTACAAACTCAATCAAACCGAGTCTGCAATTCTTATGTTTGGCGTCCGCGCTCCCTTTATGGAATGAAATCAGATTTTGTGAAAGGGCGACAGCAACTTCTCGAGCCTTTAAGTCGGTCATAATAAAAGCCGATCATTCCGAACGGTATGAAGGTGCTTGATTATTAATTAATCCGTGGTACAATGAATAGCGAACTTGCAAAAATTTTCAAATGAAATAACCTTTTCCGTCAATAAATCGCGCTCTTCGGTTTTTTTTATTTACACAGTGGGTTATTATGGAATGTTATTGTTGTACATTTATCCGAAAGCTGTAAATAGAATGATGAGTTGATGACCTAAATATTCCGAAAATCTATTTATAGAGGGATGTGCTCCTATCGGTAATTCCCGGTCTCTCCCGGTCTATTTTGACCGGGATTTACTAGTGACCGTTTATTGTCCGGTCTCTCCCGGTTTTGGAGTAGATGTTTGATATAGTTACAGAACAAAACAAATATTTTACAGATAAATAAGCTTTTTTCCAAAATGAATGTTTGTCAGTTAATTTGGTTACAATAATTCATGAACACAGATCAACTCTCTAATTTATTGATTTTTATTATACATAAACATACAATTCGAAAAAAAAACCAAAAACAACAAGAACAACAACAATACATGTTTCATTTTATCTATATGAGATAAAAACAATAAATATGTACAATAATTGAGAAAAGGGTACATCTTTATGGTAATAATACGACACTATCAACTTTGAAACATTTTATTTAATTTCTTATTCGTGGTTAGTAAAGATGCCGAGGAATTATTCAAAGTTACAAATTAGATTTTATGAATTATTCAATTGGTTGATAATTAAAAAATGATAAAGAAAAAAACAAATGTACATGGTTTAAGAATATAAGAATAAACAATATTATATATTGAAAGATTAACCATTATTTACTGACTTTTTCCAGTTAATTTTTGACTTATAATCGTCGGTCAATATGACAATTGAATTCTTAAAATTTATTTTACAATTTAAATTAAAAAAAGTAAGTAAACATAAAAAAGCGCATAAAACACAAAAAAGAAAAGAAAACAATATTCATAAAATCTGTAATTTTTTATCAAAATTAATATATATTACATTTATTGTATAATAAACAATTATGCTTAACATGACCAACATGGTAATATAACCAGTGTCATATTTTAACTAAGTGTGAATAGATACTTTAAGAGGGGGTCTTCGCTAATAGCGATAACATAATAAGGGACAATTACACAAGTGTGGTGTTGATCATGCGTTACACATATGGATTGTAAATGATTGTTTACATGTATATCCGTTGCTCGCCCATATGGTCTCTTTCCAGTGGCGAGGGTAAACAAACGCAAACACACAAAATCCGTTGCTATTAATAACCACGGTCATAAAGAAATAACAAGTAATATTTTAATCTCTAGCATGCCAATCAAAGTTCATAATGATCAATGTCTTTCGTCCGCTCATTCATAAGTGATATACAATTCTGGTAAAAACCATTGAAAAGATTATAAGAATATCTTGTCATCATATGTCTACTAGTTCATCTTCACTTGCTGCATTTCTTGCTTGGACGCCCTTTGATGCTTTGCATCAATGCTTTTCTTGTATTTTTTTGTGATTAATGCTTCCGAGGGATCACTTTGTTTCCAGAATTTTTTATTTTATTTGCCTTTGAATGCTTTCCTCTTCGTACATGTATACCTGCGTGCGAAGCTTTTGTGCCAAAATGTGTGTATATATATATATATATATATATATATATATATATATATATATATATATATATATATATATATATATATATATATATATAGGTTTGTGAAAAATATTTGCATCTACAAAATACCTTTCAAAAACACTGGATCCCAAGAAGGATTCAAGAACGTGGAAAAAAAACAATACATTTGGAGAAAATAAACGTTCATACAGTGCTAAAGTATAAATACCCAAGTACTTTCGGCGTATCATCAGGGGTGTATTACATGTATAATGTGCGCACACAATAGAGCACAAAATCTCAATACGTGTGTACTGTATAGTATCAAAAAATATACTGAAACACAGTCGCTAGAAAGGTGATAAAATTACACTGATTATGAATAGACCGTTATTGAATGGTCATTGTGTAGTACTTTACAGAAGAAAATATAGCCTGCGGTCAATATGGCATAAACTCGGTTAAATATATCTATAAAACTGTGTTTAAAAAAAAAAAATATATATAAACTTAAAAACAAAAAAAAAACATCACATATAAGGGCGTTTTGTGTTTTTATTACTATAAGTATGATGTAAGAAAATGCAAGTTACAAACAGTATGACGTTATATGAAGTGGAAATTTATGATAAGGTGAAAGTAAAAACGAAGCTCTCAGGCAAGGTAAAAATAGCCCTCCCCGACACCGCCTGGTGACTAAAGTTAGGTTTTAAAGTTTGTCAAGAATGGGCGAGAATAAGTGTGTAAATTAGTCTCCTTTATTGATTCCTGATGGCTCTAGCGTATTCAGTCGGCGAATCCAGTATGTCTCGCGTGATTTCCGTGTTATATCTGACCACTTTGTGTTATGTTCAATACAACAGAGGGACACATCTTTAAAACTGTGTCCCTCAAGGTGAAAATGTTCAGCAACTGGGGATCTGTTAAATTTTCGCGTTTTCCAGTCAGAGCGGTGTAAGTTCATTCGTTTATTTAATGGAAGTTTGGTTTCACCGACATATTGTTTGTTACACACTTTGCAAGAAATAAGATAAATAACGTTAGCCGTTTTACAATTCATTATGTCTTTGAAAGAAGTTTTGGCCCCTATTTTTGAAGAGAATGTTTTTGTGAGGAGCATGACAGCACAGGTTTGGCATCTTGGTGTGCCACATGGTCCGGACTGACCTTCTTTATCTGTCATTATTGGTCTCAGTTGGGCTCGAACAAGTATGTCCCTGAGGCTTTTAGGTCTCTTATATGCAATGGTTGGTTTAGTTGGGAACATCTTGTTAAGTTTCTGTGAAGACTCAATAATTGGCCAATGTTTGTCAATGATGGCTCTAGTGTTAGGTAAAATATGAAAAAACAAGATCAACAAGGAAAGGCGGCGTTCAAGTCTGGGTGATATGTGAGCACAAAAGGAATTTTATTTTTTGTAGAACCCCTAGATTGATGTTTGTACTCTAGTAAGTCCTTCCTATATATATATACGGTAATTATCAAGTACTTGGCGTTCTCTTTTTTTGCGTTGGTCAGCCGGCTCTCCTTGAATTTCTTTCATTTGTAATTTCTGTGGTTGTACTTATTGTGACAACAGGAAAGACAATCATATTCATATGCTTAAATATATGAGACCGTACGTATGATACTACTATCAACCTTAATAATCACACGCGTGGTAACATAACTATATTCAACAGACTTGAATCATTTGAACCATATTTTTTATAAAATAGTTGAATACAGAATCCCTAAAGAAAGCCCAACACGACAAAATTGAAAATGTTGCAGGCTCGGTTTGATTGAGCCTGTTCATGGACCGTACTGGAAAGTGCAAGTTACCGTCCACGCCCCCTAGCACCGGCTTAAGCAGAATTCAACATTTAAACATGAAATGGTAAAAGGCGAATCTAAGGAACATTTCTGTATAGTTTCATCAAAATCAAGCAAAAAGTTAAGGAACGCATGCTATTTAAAGAAATTCTATTTTAAGCTCTGGTGGCCGTCTCGTTTAGCAGACCGGAACCATCTGGGCAATTTTTATGGAAAACTATCCAAGGATCATTCCCGTAGAGCTTCATCAAAATTTAACAAATGAATAAGAAGTAAATCCCGTTTAAAGTTTTTTCTTGTTTTTGCAATGGCGTCTATCTTGGTCAGCACACACAAACAATTTTAGCAGTTTTGTAAAAGACTGTCCATTGATCATTTCTGTAGTTTAATTAACATCCATTGAGCAGTTGAGGACATTATGTCATTTAACTCTTTTCTTCATTTTTAGCACTGGCTGCAAACTTATTCATCAGAGGGAACCCTCCCCATATACATTTTTTTTATAAAATAGAGAGAGAAACAGAATCACACTAGACTGCGCTGTCACTGCGTTTGATTGAGCCTGTTCATGGACTGTACTGGAAAGTGCAAGTTATCGTGCGCGCCCCATAGCACCGGCTTAAGCAGAATTCAACATTTAACAAGAAAATGGTGAAATTTTGGATTAAGAAACATCTGCAGATGTGTTTATACGGCAGTTCTCATGGAACATTCAATGTGACTCAGTAGGGTCATTCCATAAAAAGCGTCGTATGGTCCCCAAGTAAAAGAATGCGTGTGCCCTAAACGAGAAAACAATTTGCGGAACTAAATAAATGGAATTTTGAAGGAGATGCTGTTTCAAGTAAAATTGTTAATGACAGACGACGGGAACTGGTATCACAAAAGCTTACATAAAGTACGTTGTGCTCAGATGTGATAGTAGAATATTGAAAATTCAAAACAGAAAGCAATGATATAATATTAAGCTAACCTTTATTATTTGCATATCCCCTTCATGAAATGATGTCTGAGCTACTTTCCCCGTTGTTTTTACTACAGGACCTTGGAAGGTAAGTGAAGATTCATCAGAGATTAGTTGTGAATCTTTTCTTAGACAAGAGTTAGATGTATCCTCTTCTTCAGAAAGTGCTGCCTTTCTTCTTTGTTGTCTAGTTTCAGTTTTTTCTTCCACTGTGATATTTCCGTCCATAACTGACGTGTTACTTTGTTGTGCTTCAAAGAAAAGAAAGAATAGAGTAATTTCAGTTGATATACCAGATGGCTGACAGACAAGATGTTTTAGTTATCAGAAACAAGAGGGCCCTTATATTTATCACCTACATATTTAGGCTCTTAATGACAAGGCAGAATAATATTTTTTACCATGAATGAAAAGCAATTGAAATGATTATTTATTGTTATGTGCGATTAATGACTGTTTTGCAATATTCATCACCATATTTCTACTGCGTGACTAACGTAGTATGGGATGCATATTTTGCATGTTTGGACCTCTTTGTTTTGGTAATTTATGTAAATGTAAGTCCCGTTTGTAATTTGTAAGTATCGTTGTCCACTGTACAATGTTTTATTTTCAAATACATGAAAATCACCATTAATCATTAATCTGGAAGTGACCTTTACAGTATTGTCCATAAATTTCAAGGACATTTCGGCTTAAAAGATTACAGTTATAGTATTAACACGGTGTTTTCATATACTCGTATTTGGACTCTATGGTCTTTTTTGACCCTAGATGATTCATGTTCAAAGTAGAAATCAAGATAACAACCTATATGACAAATTTGCTGGATTTTAAGGCTGGAAATATTACCTATATGGAATTTACAACGACTTTTATAATTTGGACTGTATGAGCTAGATGACTCTTATTTGAACTTGACCTAGAAATCATAGAAGCAACCTTTCAGACAAATTTCCATAATATTTTGGAATGAAAATATTACCTTTTGAATGTTGAAGGGACTCAACTGAGATTCTTTTGGTTTTTTCTTCCACTGTGACATTTCCGTCCACAACTGATGTGTCTCTTTGTTGTGCTGCAAAATTCAAAAAACTATGCCAACAAAATTAATTTGTATCTCCTTTTACACTTATAACATCAATACCCACACAGACATACATCTTAAGGTCATGATACAAACGCTAGACGTTAAATATAAAAAGTTTGTACATTGTAGGATGAAGGAAAAAAAGATGTATGAAAAAGTGTAGGAAGTCTATTGTAAGCAAGATGATCAGGCTGTGTAGAAATCTATTTTTCAGACAAGGTCAGTACCAGTTCTACCTTTGAGATGGCCCAAAAGGTTGCTTTGTCCAAGTATAAAGATAATTAATAACTAACCAAGTTACAGTCAGTTACTGAATTATGACTGAAAATTCAATACATTGACCTTCAAGATCAAGGTCGTACATGAGTCAAGTCATTTTGAGTTTAATATACATGAAGGTCCTGACATAAAATATGTTATGTCTAAATATGAAGTTAATCCATAAATAAATAACAAAGTTAAAGCCAGTTACAGGGGAAAACAAGGGAATTACATTTATTTAACATTTACGGTCAAGGTCAATCCAATGTTAAGGTCTAATTAATCAATATATTTGTTTGGTCTTGTTATAAATCAAATATGTACATAAAGAACAAAACTATAACAATTTAACCAAAATTCAATAACGTGACCTTGGCGGCCAATGTCATTTAAAGGCCAAGTTCAAGGTCAGTTCTACATTTTAAAAAGTCTTATTCCAAAGGTTATTTTGTCCAAGTACGAAACAGTGAAAAACAGAATCCTTAAGGAAAGCCCAACACGGCAAAATTGTAAAATGTTTGATTGAGCCTGTTCATGGACGGTACTGGAAAGTGCAAGCTACTGTCCACGCACCCTAGCACCGGCTTAAGCAGAATTCAACATATGAAGATAATCCATTCATTAATTACCAAGTTGGCAACACGTTTACTTCTATAAAACAATATGACTCACCGAAATTTGATACAGCATCATCTTTGACAAGTTTTGTTGTTAATGACATAGGTTTACTCTCTACGTTCAGCTGTCGCCTTAGTTCTGATTCAATGCGCTTGATTCCTTTCCCAAACATTTTAGTTTCTAAACTTTTTTGTACTGTTTCCTTTTCAGATAGTGTAGGAAATTTAGATCTTACACGAATGGAATTATCTGCATTTGAACTTGTTTGTATGGTAGTGTACTCGGTTTGTTGAACTCGTTCATATAATTTGGAAACTAAAATTTATATGAAACATAAATGGTACTATATCTTACAGTATTTAATAAATAAAAAAAATTCTTAAAGTTGTGGTGTTAAGGCATCCGATTTTAAAGTGGTTAAAAGCCAGTCCCTTGAAAGATTCCGTCTGTTCCAAAAATAGATATTTTTATATTGACCAATGGTGTTAAGAAAAAAATCAAATTGCTTTTCAACATAATGTCCGCAGAAATTTAAAAGGATAAAGTGAATAATAATAAATGAAGTATATGGTATTTCAAATATTGATATACCTATGTCATCCATGACTTCCATGAATTCCTCTTTAAAGATGAGATTTTCAAGTTGTACATTGCCACAACCTTGCAAATTCTTTATAGCCGTTTCAATGGTTGAGAGCTGTAAAGAGAGCTCTCCAGTTCTGTAATCGCGGATCATTTTGACAAAGCTTTTTACTGATGTACATTTTATTGTAAGCATCAGACACTTTTGCTCCACAAATGTTATACGTCTTCCCATGATAAAAAACTCTTGAAATACTTGTGCAACTGTTTCCCGTAATGTATGCAGAACACCCTTTGGAAGACTTTCTTCTAGACTTGATACTTTCTGTTCGATAGCCTTGATGAAGTTTTTCTCTAAAATATCTAAAACTTCTTTCTTTTTTTCTGCACTACAATTTTTTACGTCAATCACAATTCCAATACCTGCATATTATGACGTACGTTATTAGAAAATAATGATGAATAATATTTCAAATGTATTCGGTAAATATGACTTTTTATCAAAATTTAATTGAAATGACAAAAATGACTGATATTTTTGCATGGAAGTTAATACAGGTGTAACTTATCAACATGTTCCTTTTATTTACACCGTTTTCATTTCGGTAACAGAAACCAGGCATGTGATTTTAAAGTGGTTTAAAGACAGTCCCTTCAAGATTCAGTCTGTTCCAAAAATAAACCAAAATATTGACCAAAAAAGTTATATTTAAACTTAGTTAACTTGTACCGAAATGTGAAATCAGTACTGATCTCTTAAACTATGAACATTTGAATGAGGTGTATAGCAAAAGGGAATATAAATGCATAGGTGCTCATGTGTAACGTACTTGACCTAAATAGAGGCAAAATGTCAACCAATCTATTATCTATTTAAACTTTTATTATAAACACGGGTAGTTGATTGTTAAAACTATTTAAAACTTCAAAATGTAATATAAAATACATTCTATATGTCCGAGGGGCGGGGCGGTGAAGTTTTTCTTTTGACTGAGGAATTTTTCTTTATTTTAATTATATGAACTGTAGGGTTAAGTGGGAGGATAGGTATTTGACCTTTTACTTAAAACATATTTTATTTCTTAAAGATGCAGAGCAATATCAACAATATCCAAACAAGCATATTGACTGAATATACTACATTTATCACAATAAACATTTTTGTTACTGATTTTTGATGTATAAATTTCATATGAAAACAATCTAATTGTTTTAAATTACCCGGAATGTCCACAGAAGCTCCAGATTGCAAACGAGACTCAAGTCTTTCAACCTTTTCAACAAGTGTGTCAAGTTTTCCATGTGTCAACTCTTGGCCTATGCATAAGTAAAAAAAGACTGATATCAAGTATTAATTTTTTTGATGTTAAATTAAGAGAAACAAAGATATTATACTTAGGACATTCAGAGTTATATATTTTCAATAAGAATTACTATATTACTTGTACAAAATAGTAAAAGATATCTTAAATATTGCTAAAAGATATTTAGAAGCTACATTTACCATTCTCAATTTTTTCCAAGACTTCTTTATTTGTCATTTCTATAAAGTAAAGCTTATGAACAGCTTTTAGCAAATCATGTGACGACATAGGACCAGTGGCTAATGACTGAACAAGTGCATTTATTTCCTCCGTAAACTTGTCATCATTGATCTCTTTCAGACAGTATTCAAAGCTGCATTTCATTTGTTCAGTATACTCCTCGAATTTTCTCGTTTCTAACGTTGGGTCATTTGAATGACAAAGTTTGTTTCTGATCTTTAAAAGCTTCTTGATATACATCTTCATAGTATATGTCAGACCACACGTTTCTTCTAGAATAAAACAGAACATGCAAATGTCCCAGTTATCTAGATTCGTGTGTCCGGACGATGGAAAAAACACATCCTGCTTGTTCTTTCCCAATTTCTGTTTTAATATCAAAGATTTGTTTTTTAGCAAAAATTCATCGATAGTAACTTCTCCACCATTCTTGCTAAGATCTTTAACTGTTTTCTCCACAAGTCTTCTTGTTAGTTTTGTTCCACCTTTCATTAATGTCATCAAAATTCTACTGTAGTTTTCGGTACCTGTTGAAGACATAGTTACTAATCTAATTTATAAATCAATCTGTATGTAAACGTGTATCTGCATAAACACTTGTGTTATTTACTGTTTATATATCGAGATGATTTAAACTATTATCCGGTTAACACATATTTTCTGACTTCTGAAATATTAAAACTACAAAACAAACATGGCGGAATTAAACATCCTCGTTTCTGGTTAACAAATTTACATATATTTTTTCGAAAAATATCTAAACAAAGAACCAATACATCTTTAACTCGCGTAAAATGCAGAAAAGCATACAAGAATTCAAATTTAGAAAAAACAACAACAAAAAAACAATAATTATCGGGTTTCATACTTTCGATTTTAAAAATCCTATCGTTTATCTGCGCGGCATTTTCAAACTTATGCTAAAAAGTTTGAAGGTATATGTTATGAAACACAATACATATATTGCGGAATTATAAGACCTCGTTTCTGTTCAATAAACATGTGTACATGTTTAGACAAGGTCATTTTTTAAAATCTCGTTAAATTCAGATATCAGAATTAGAACGATATCCATCAATTCAAAATTGAAGTTTATGTTCGCAAACTTTTCAAATTATGGTTTAGATAAAATATCAGTTAATTACCATACAGAACGCATTTCCAAAGTGTTATCAGCATTTTATACACTACATTATTCCAATTTCTTACTTTGATGGGGTTCTTAGTCACGATCTGCTTGATCTTTCATAACTATCGTAAGCATATGTCACAATACAATTGACAACTGCAAGTCGTTTAACCAATCTATCTTTTTATAAAGAAAAAAATCACATTCCTTTTCATACAGCACCCATTTTGATGAAGTAAATTTTTCAACAAAGTAAACATGTATTTAACTAATACATCTAATCTAGTTAATGCACTGCGCATTAATTGGTAAACGATTTATCTTTAACACATTTTCAATAAAGATGTCTCCACTCTATATATTTTACAACATGATATTTTATTGTTGAAGCATAAAATATGTATCAATATTTTCAAATGGTATGACATGCTATTGTAGGTTATATGACACAGTTATCATATTATTAGTTATTATGCATCTGGACAAAGTTATGACAGCTCATTTTTGATATGCATTTTTTCTTTTATTTTTTAATCATTTATATTGTCCTATGTCAAGGTTCGAAATTAAATACATATTGTTATCTCTGAAACCTTAGTATAAAAAGAGACCAATGTCCTAAATCACATTTGTTTATAGACTCATTTATGTATGCAGTATAAAATAACATTAATAGTCCAAGAAATCAGTGAAATAATTGTGCACCTTCTGTGAAAAGCATGAAACTTGGCATGGTGGCAGGAAATCGTATTCCAATTCATTTCAGCCTGGGATCCACTTTTTAAAAGTCTAAGATGGCCGCCAAAATGCAAGATGACCGCCAAAATATACAATGTACATGGGACATGGCACATTGAAGTAATTTACGGCATGAAAAAGATATAAATTGACATTGTAGGTCAAAAATAGTAATTTCTTTGGAAAATGCTTTAGTAGCATTGGTAGAAGATTCAATATGATTTCCAAATCCAAGATGGCGGCCATTAAATAATGATTTTTGGACAAATTGCTATGATATGGATAATTTGTATGATCAACACTGAACATACATATAACACACTAATATACTGGCCATCCTGTACAAAAACTGCACACACAGTGTACATACACAGAGAAAAAACTTGCATTTATGGAATAAACCATGAGAGCACATTACTGAACTTGATATATAGAAGAATAGGGAGCGATATTGTACACACAACACGTCAATTTTTCAGTTTGGCTAAGGTTTTGCATGCAAATTGGTTTTGTAAAAATTACATAATGGAATAGGTATAAACCTAGTACACTTATTTATGAGCCTAACATAAGGTAAATATTAAAGACCAATTACTCTATAATTATGGATTTTGACAGAATTATGGCCCTTTTAAACGCCGTGGATGAACAAGTTTTGTCACGTGACCACAAATGCAAACGTCGATTTGTGATTTTGGCACACACGGACCCGATTTCAGGTAATCATTTGCAGATATCTTTTTTTCCACTGCGAGCACAAAAATAAGACATAGACCGTAGGACCCGGCGTAAATTAAGCTTTTATTATATTGAGTAGTCATTACTAGAGACTTAAGTAGTTTTTTAGAACACTTCGACACAAATTTTCTTTTTGCAAGGCAAACGTCCGATAGCTTTTTATCTTTTTCTAATCTTTTTTGTTCACAATGAAAAACCCATGTAGAGGGAAAATAATAGAAGATATATCTTTTTACAAGAAATTCTCGTCCCTAACTTATTAATAATTCCATTGGCAAGGTTATAAACGATATAAACACATGTTTTTCACTTAGTGTCGATTTTGCAAACGTCGTTTGATCATGAGAAATATGCAAACGTCGGTTGGTCATTTGAAATATATACAAGCGCCCGTTGATGTCTTTTTGAACGCTGGACTATATTGTGTTTGCATAATTAAATTAGTTTGTTTCTTATTTCAGATGGCGAAGAGGAAGTCAAAACTTGCGTTGCATCGCCCAAAACGCAAACATAAATCTTATCAAGTTGGACATTTTCACACCGGCGAAGATTTTTCCCCCAAGCCATCATGACTGAAAAAGCGTAAATTTTCACCAAGAAAATCACCGTTCGCACAAACATACCGTTCACCTCTATATAAAAGTAAACGCCTCGGACTAAAACTCACGCCAAAGCCAACACCAAATTCAAATAGAACGAAACGTAAACTTTCACCACTGCAGCCATCATTGAGGTCTCCACTTTATATTGCCAAACGCCTTCCTCAAAGAGTTCTTTTTGAAGGTGATGATGAGCGTGAAATTGATTGGTTTCAAGAAATCAATTCACAACTTGACAATCAAGGGAACAATATAGATGAAAATGATAAGACGGTAAACGAAAGTGTTCCAAACGAAAAGGTACACCGGATTACTTTTTTTGAAAAGGGCGATTTTAAATGTTTAAAAAAGGTCAGGGGGTCTAAAAAACAAAAAAATGGGAAGGGGACAACAAGTTGAATAAAATTTGTTAGTGATTTAAAAAAGTTAGTTGAACCTGTATTTAAAAAACTTCCCCAGCTTTTCACCTGATCCCCCAATCTGGTGCTTCTGTCTTTTTTTGGGCAAATTAATTTGTGACAAATTTCCCCTGAAAAATAACATAGCGTGCTTCTATGGTCTTTGGGACGAGGGTTCGATAAAGATAGTCCCAAAAGGGAAATCGTTATTGCAAAGACACCAAACTTTTTTTGGAAAGTGGGATGGGCTTTATTTGGTGGGGATTTGTAATTTCAGGGCCGGGTTTTTTTAAAAACAAATAATAAAAAATTTCACTTTAACACAATGTCAAAATAGTAAAAATTTTCTCCATCAGCAGCAAGAATAAATTTCGCCGTTCCAGACAGAAAAGTATTAACTACGTTCGATCCTTATGATTGTGAAACCAGCGAAATCCTGGTATTTACGATGATGTCATTTACAACATTGAGCAAAAATCTTGGACACGTGTCGTCTTGTCTCACATTCGATGGAAAAAACTGAAACAGGTCTTACTGAGCATTATGGAGACGTTGATCTCATTGGATTTGAAAAAGGTCTAAGCCTAATAGAGAAAAGATCACAACTTCAGAAATCAACTTATGAATAAAAATTCATTCATAAGCCAGGTTCAGAGTCATTTTTGATAGCCAATACCCATTTGTGTAGACTTACCTGAAGACATGAAAGGACAAATCGAACACGTACTACTAGGTACACTTAAGACTGTCTCATTAGGAAAACCAATTTGGAAGAGCCCAAGAAGAAAAAGGAGTATCAAAAAAAAAAAACTGATTAAACGGGGGGGGCCCGAATAAAATTGGGAAAATAGTTCATTTATTTACGCCAAATTGCTATGAGGGGGGTACGGTCCGACACCCAATCATTTTATTAAGAAATCAAAAAAAAATTTCCTTTTCGAAAACCCTGTGCTATTTTAGGTAAATGAAAAATTTGCCGCAATATTACGATTGAACGTTGACCTCGAATAAATGATGGGTTTAAACCCCTTTTCGAAAAGCCCCATGAACTTAGAGGGGCAGAGGGCTCACACCCTCGCCAAATTTTAAACAAAGATGGGGATGAAGGTTGAAATACGATCGACAGCAAAGAAACCCGGAAGGCCTTAAAAAAGGTCGGGTCTTAAAAGTTTAAAAGCCCCCAAAAGGGTTTACTTTGAAACTAATTTCGGGGTTTGTCCCCAAAGGATTAAATCTTTTCGTTGTTAAACAAATAAAACATGGAATGACAAGAAGAAAAATTGAAAAGTTGCGAAATTGTGGGGAAAATTTTAAACCATTTCTTTACCCAAAAACCTTTGTATTTTTTGGGGAAGGGTTGTGGGGTTTTTATACAATGAAATTTTAAAAACCCCTTTTTCTTTTTCCCAGATGGAATTTTTAAGAAAAGATCGTTTGTTTACATAAAACGGGAAAATCCCCTTTAAAAATAAAGTGCCCTGGTTCGCAGTACACTTTGAATTCCCTTCGAAAATATCTTTGCAGTGTTTGGGCAGAAAGGGAAAAGTTTCTTAATTTTAAGTTTAAATTTTTTGAAATTTGCCCCTTTGGCCCGGGAATTTTTCCTTTGGGTTTTTTGAATTGAACAGAAAACACCCCCTATGTTTCCAAAAGGAAATGAAAGGGCCAAAACCCCTTTATTTGATACTAAAAAAAATTTTCCCGTACCAAAGAATGTCAGGGACAATTTTAAAACTATGAGAGAGGAGATTAAACCCTTTTTAATTTTAATAACGTTCCTTTTTTTGGGATTTTTTTCCGTCCCAAATCAAGAAATCCCATGAAGTAAAAAAAATGTGAGGCAAAAACCCGGGAAAATTTGGAAAAAAATTAAATTCTTTTATAAAAACATTCATCAAAAAGATAAGTTAAACCCGAAAGGCAATAAAATCTGTTTTTTTTATTTTTTGGGGCCCTTAAAAAGGATTTTGGAAAAAAACAAATGTCGCTAAATGGATGTCGTTTTTTTTTTATGGGGGATATTTTTGGGACAACGATAAAATGAAAAGATCG